AAATAATTTTAATAGTGTGATAGCTATACATAGACTGTATTTAAAAGCAGAATTTTCACTTGTTGAAGGGAAAAGTGCTACAATACAAACCATTGGTTTGACCCAACTTTATTTATACAACGCTTTATAAGTTTTATTTCAACTCATTCCGTTGTGGTTGTCACTTTGCAGTAATGGTGATCGAAAAAGAATATATTTTTTTCAGTGTTTCTCTGTATATTCATACTCTATTTGGGAGAGAAGGAATGCTATACTGTCTGGAAGAGATTGATATAGATGTACTAAAAGAAATGTATTTTAGGGAGATCCTGAGATATAATTAAACAAATAATGATTATTAATTTCTGTGAGAGGGAGGCAACTACGAGTATCACAACGGAACGGAATCTCTTTATCAAAAAATATAAATCATTATTATTTTTTCAATAATTTGTTACATTTCGACATCAGCTGTAAAATATAATCACAATATTTATAATTTTTTACTATTGTGAATATTTCAATGATTTCATATTTTGATTCCATTTCATATGTACTCGTACTCATATATTTCATTTTTTAGTTACATTTTACCTATGTTATCATTTTGTTTATTGAAAAAAAAAAAACAAAATTTAAGATTTTTTTTTTTTTAAGAGTTTTCAAAAATATATTAATTTTATTATAAAATCCAATCATCATCTATTGAGTAAATATTTAAAAATAAAAACAAAGAAAAAAAGAAAAAAAAAAATAAGGAAACCAAAACAAATAAAATAGACAAGATGTGTGTATAAGGAGGAAAAAAAAATTGAAAAATAAATTTTTTTTTATATATAAAAAAAAAAGTTTTATAGGAAATATTTCTACAAAAAAAAAAGCAAAAAAAATTCAATTGATTTGATTGATTTTCAGAAGAATTCACTTAAATATAGTAACAATTTATTTACTCTTTTTCATATTTTGTTTTAAAAAAACAAAAAAATAAAATATGAGTAACTTTACTAACGATTGTATTCCATTTTTATATTACAATAATAATAATATTTTTTCGAAATTAATAAAATATTTATAATTTTATATTTTGTGCAGGTTTTTAATTAAAATTAATTTTAAATTTGAATTTAAGAATTCAAGAATTTTTTCAATAGATCAATTTAAAATTTTCATTAAAATTACTGTTATACATCGATATAAAAACACCATTCTGTAAAATTTTATACAATAATGAAACCAAAAAAAAAAAAAAAAAAAAACACTATTGAAAAAATCTTTTGTAAAATTATAAAATTCCCATGAGATTAGTTTTCTCATCTCCCCCTTTTATTTATAGTCAATTTATTAAATCATCATTTTAATAAACGAAATACTTTATGGTTGTATAAATTGTGTTGTGTAAACGCATTTTAAATATTTTATGATATTGTATAGTTTATAAAAAAAAAATAATGTTATTCTTATAAAAGGTCTTTCAAAATTGTATACATAATTGTGGAAAAAACATTTTCGCTTTTATTGAATATATAGAACGAAGAATACCGTGATAAATTGTAAGGTTATTTAATATTTTTGTTTATTTTGAATAAGCACAAGTAGGTGTATGTGTAGGCTACACGGGGGGTGTTCTACTCTAATGGAAGAAATTCTTATTACGAATTGTCAAATTGTAAAATATCATATTTTTGTCAAATTAATAATTGATTTAATGTATAATTAATTAGAGAATTCTAAATTTGTAATATATTTAATTAAATTCAGTAAGCGTATGCTCGTAAATGGCATTTAAGAGTATAATTGTAAAATGGTATTGTAAAAAAACTGTCATTTTGTATATATGCAAACAGATATATACAATTATGTTATTCTGTTTCCACTCCGACTAACGAAACATTGTAATTTTGTAAATCCAACTAAGGAAACTTAAATTATCTAAAATTATCCCATTAAATATTAACAAATAAACCGATAGTTTCTTATATATATATATATGTACATACATATATTTTTTATTTCTATAGAATATTAAGACCCGCTAATTATTATCTTAAGCGTCTTACGGTTCAAGTACATAAAATAAATATTTAGATATTAGAAAACGCAAAAAATATCTATTAACTACAGGCAAAGAATGTCTTAACTGTAATAATAGAAAATAATGGAAAAACGCATTTATATACAGGGGCCAATACAAATGCGAATAGGTGTGAAACAGTTCAACTCTTTTACTGCCCTATGTACGAAGAAATTTAATAAAAATTTTAAATTTTTTTTATAGTTAATACTGGATAATCCTTTATGTACTTACTAATATACTATATAAATTATAATTTAAATATTGGTCAAAAACCATTTATAAATCAACTAAACAAAAAATCATGAACAAGAGAAGAGAAGAGAAAAAGAAGTAATGTTTTTACTTGATGTGTGTGTATGTATGTATGAATTATATAATATAGAACTTTTCCTTTTGTACTTACTCTCCTTGTTTTTTTTTATTTTAAGAAAACGCGAATTCTCTTTGACTTCTTCTGATATTCTTTTCCTTAAGGATTGTTTACTTAAAATCCCATTTATTGAATTAAAAAAAAAGAAATTTTTTTTTCTTTTCTTTATTTTTTTTATGAATATCCATACATACATACATATATATTTTTCTTTTCTGGTTTCTGGTACGTACATTTGGGTATTCTTTACTTTTCCTCTAGCATCAATTTCATTGTGAATGTACGTTATGTATGTATAAATAAAATGTAAACAGGGAAAACTGTTAAGAAATATTCCTTTTTTTTTCTCTTTTTCTTTTAAAATTTTAGTACTTTGAATAATTTTTCTTTCCCGCATTTTTAACAAAATAAGAAACAAAAAAAAAAAAAAAAACAGAAATTTTTTAAAAAAAAAATAATATAAAAAATTTGTTAATATTTAAAAATTCTCAATAAAATTCTCAATTCAATAAAATATTTAAATAATATTTTTTATGAAAGAAGAATAAATCAAACCCAAAATAATAAAAAGAAAAATAAGAGAAAAATAAAATTTGAAAATCTTTCTCGTAAAGCCAATTGATTTTATAGAAATTAAAAAAAGAAGAGAGAGACAAATAAAATAGAATAATGAAAAGAGACAAAAACGAGAAAAAAAATTTTTTTTGATTTAATTGTATTTTTATTTTAAAATATCGAACAATAAAATTTTGATTAAAAATTTTTTTCTGAATGTTTGTGTTTAACTTTATTTAACGATCTCTTTTGAGTAGCCTTTGATTGTTAAATTGATATTTAAAAAAAAAATTTTTTGTCTCTTATTTTTTCATTTCCTTTAAAATATTAGCAGAGAATAATGTATATGACATCTTTTGTTTACAATTATAGTCAAATAGAATATTTAGAGTAAGAGAAATTTAATTTAAGATGAGATTGCGAGAATTTTAAATATAATTAAAAATAAAAATAACATTTAAAATATAATATTTTAACAGCAATGAATTATTATTTATCGTAATGAATTTAAAAATAAATTTAAAATAAATTTTGTTGCAAAATGAATTCAAAATAAATTTTGTTGCAAAATGAATTTTTGTTTTTTTTGGAATTTGATATTTTTAAATAAAATATAATAATAAGCTTATATATGATAAACAATATAAAGGAATTTAACTGCGTTGAACAATAATTTATCAAAAATGAATTCATAATATAATTTATTCTGAAATGAATTATTTTAGTATTGTATAAAACGAGAAAAATTTATAATTTTTTTCTCACAAATTCCCACTTCATATAAAAATTAATAAAATTTACCTTAAATTTAATATTTTATAAAAGTAATTCATAAATTCCATTAAAATTTTTAAAGTACATAAAAAGCATATAAATTCGCACAAAAAAAAAAAAAAAAATAAAAAAATCAAATAATTTTTAACTGACAAATTTACACATAGACGTAGCAGAGAAAAGGACGAGTTTCTAATTTTTTTTTGCGTTTTTTACTACATGTACTCTCTGTTCTATTTCTTCTATTTTTTTCCCCTTTTGTATTTTTATTTTTTTTTTTTTGAAAAATTGCAAAGCTGAGGAGAAAAAAAAAAATAAAATGTACTTGTTTTTTATTTGAATATCATTAAAAATTTAAAAATTTTTTAAGTAGAAAAAGTAATAAAGGAAAGTAAAAAAAATTCTACTTGGAAAGGACATTTTAAATGTTAATATTTTTTTCTACTCTCTCCCTATTTATTTCAACCGAATTAGTATTTATTTTATTATTCCCTTTTAATTAAATTTTTTTTTTGTTTTACATTTAACCCGTTAATTGAAATAGTTCCTTATTTAAACTGAATATTTTTTACGATTTTATTTTTTTTTTTTTGTTTTGGATTTTGTTGGCTCTGTTGGTTTCTATATAAAGAAAATCGTTTGTAATTTAGATATTAATTTTAGTATGTATGTAAACAAATTTCATTCTCTAGAAAAATTAAATTAGAATGTCAAGTTTTATGAAATGTTTGTGTCTTCTTTAATGTAAATATGATGATGTCTTAAAATAATATGTGTACATTTCGAATACATCGTGTGGTTATTGATTTAAATAAAATGGATACTTGAGGAATTTTCTTATTTTAAAGGGGAAAATAATAAATAAAACTCCTCTAGATTTGGATTTAATTTAAAAAAAGATATTGGGATTTTTTTTAGAATTTTGTCTCTATTTTCGAAAATACATACATATGTGAGATACATTGATTAAGTTTCCTTCACAAAATGTAAAATCAGGCATAGGTAAAATTCGAATTTGAAAAAAAAAACATTCTTCTTAGAAAAAAAATTCGAAATCAATAATTCAATTTTTGATTGTCTCCTCATTCCATCAGTTTTATTTTTTAATTTGTGTGTACGTCATAAAAATGAATATTTGGTTTAAAAAATGACTCTGCAAACCTTTGTGCTTTAAAATATTTTATAATTCAATTAAAACATTTAATTAAATTAATAAATTAATTAAAATATTTTTTTTTTTATTTTCAGATAAATTACATTCATGTTTCGTTTGCAAAATGGATGCTTGTCCACGTACACGTCCATTAAAGAAAGGACGTGGTCAACAATATGGTATTTCAGATGATATAATACCATTGGGTGCACGTGTATGTAATTCTTGTCAATGTAAATCAGTTCGAAGCCGTTATCCGAATTGTCCATTACCAACATGTCCAAATTCAAAGGAACGTGCTAAACGTTTACATAATATACCAGCAAGATTATTTGATGCACCAGCTGAAATTCGTGAACCTATATTACAAGAATTTAAAATTGCACGAACAACAACAAGATGTTGTTCAGCATGTTTAATGAGAATACGACGTAAATTAGATCCACATATTAATTTATCAGAAGATCGTCAGACATTAACGGATGGTGATGAATCTGATTTAAGTACATCATCATGTGATGAACGTGATGTTGCTAGCAGTGATACTGCTTCAGTTGAAAGTCCAAATAATCCAATACGGCAAAATGTTCTATTATCAAAAGATGATCTTTCTAATAATTGTAATAGAAATAGAATTTCACATCATGTTACCGGAATTGGTATTGGTAATAATAATAAATCAATTGATGATAGATTATTACCACCATTAGGTCATGCACCACGTAAACAAAAAACACAAGAAGAATATGATAGTTCTGCAACTGAAACTGCAGATGAAGAAAATGAAAATTCTCCAGCTGCTATTCAAAATGGACCAAGATCTGATCAACAATTAAATGTTCGTGATTTTGTGTTCAATGTTATAGAATTTACATTAAAAACTGGTGGACCTAAACCTAACGCACGACCAAATTTAATTGAAGGTCGAAATACTGGTAGTGGTAGCAGTAATAGCAGTAACAACAGTAATAGTAGTAATAACGGTAATACTGATGTTCAATTTGTTGGTGAATTCCGGAATGATGGTCCTATTGTCGGAAATCGACATCAACCAAATCTTTTAATGTCAAATAATATGAATACTGCCAATTCTGGTGCAACGCTTCAGCCAATTACACAAAATCGACAGCATTCTGGATCACAAAATGAAAATTTGGCTACATTATCTATTGTTAATTCTCATGCACACATACCACCAACACAACAACAAATAATACAGCAACATCAACATGGAATATCTGCCACAATTACACCAGTAAAAGTTCCAATTGATATTCGTGAAAAGGATGAAACACTTTATAATGTTCGCAACCCGGATCCAGAACCTCAAACTTTAGATTTGAGCATTAAGAAACATTCAAAAGATATACCATTACACAACGTTCCACCTGCTTCTTCAAGAATTCCATCGCATCAACAAAGTTCAGGTGTATCTGCTATGCCAATTTACCGTTCTGAACAAGGTCAGGTGTCAGGTATGTAGACTAATATATTACTTAATTTATGGTTATTTTCAATAAAAAATTACTTTACAGCCATCCAACAATCTGGACCGCCAGGCCAGCAGAGCTCTGCCTATTTAGGTTATCATCATCCTTCTCAAAGTAGTGATTTAAATCGTACTCCAAAATCCCCGTCAGTATATGTGTCACAGGTACCTGTGAATATTTCACAATCAGGTCAGCCTTTATCTAGGCAACAACAACAGGGTCCGCCTATGCAGCAACATCAGCAACTTACGATACAACAACAACAACAGCAGCAAAACAAAACCAAACTATCACAACAAAAATTGAGTCCCAAAATACATCCACATCAACAATCTCCTAGCCCTAATCAAATAATGGTTGGGGCACCAAAAGGATCAATAACTCACGGAACTCCAATTGTTCCTCAACAACAACAAATTTTAGTTCAGGGATCCACTACTGTAAGTCCTCGATTTGAAGGCATCATGAGACAGACCCCACCATCTGGGCCTCCTGATGTAACTAAATTGGGTTCAATAACTCAAGGAACTCCTGTTCATTTACCTTCACATCATATGCAAGATAAACAACGTGTATTTGATTATTATAAGAATAATAGACAAAGTCCTGCCCAACAGTCTTCTCAAGCACCTCAGCCTCAGCAAACATCCGGACCTCCTCCGCCAACCCAACCACCAAATTCAAATGTTGGGGCACCTAATTTTGGTGGTTCACCGTATGGAAGATCAGCCTACGGTTTAGAATCACAACCTCAATTAAGTACGAGACAAATAGTGATGCATGATTACATGACCTCACAACAAATGCATGGTCAACAAAGAAGTGTCGGACGTGGTGATAAGGAATCTCCTTCACCAAGAAGCTCTGGAAGCATGTCTGGTTCCTCCGCTTCAATTTATTATTCAGAAAAGGATCGAAGCAGGGCTGATTATCTTAGCCGAACATCACCAGCTGAACATGTTAACAGGTAAGAAAATTATTAAGTAAATTTAATTCAAAAATTAATTACAATTTTGTTTCATCAGTACACCAAGCCCACATAGAACTCCTCCACCACAGAGACAAGGGGTTATTCAAAGACATAATACAAATAATTCGAAACCTCCATCTCCTTCGCCTAATCGTCTTCATTTGATGCAGCACATTTACGCACCTTCAGGTAATTTAAATTAAAATTTTAGTTTGCTTTTATTAACAAAATTCCACTTTTTAGGTCATGAAGCCTTTAATTCTTTAGTAGATGTTGCGGTTCAACAACCCCAACTTCCAGTACCTCAGCGAGACGAAAAACGCAGCTCTCATCCCTCAGTTGATCATCCAACGAATGTGTTCCATCATGATATGCGATCGCAACAGTTAGCCAGAGAACAAATTGCAATGCAAATTCACCAGCAGCAGCAGCAACATCATTATAGACAACAACAACAAGCCGCAGCAGACATACAACGTAGAGAACAATATAATCGTGAACGCATGATTGCCCAACAGCAACAACAGGAACGAGATAGACAAGAACGCGATCGACAGGAACGTGATCGCCAAGAACGAGATCGTCAAGAACGTGAACGAATTCAAGCTGAGCGAGAGCGAATGGATAGAGAACGTGAACGAGAACGACGTGAAAGAGAGGAACAAGAACGGGAAGAAGCTCGTCGACGTGAAACTGCCCGTATAATCGCAGCTAGTACGGTAGCTACTGGCGGACCTCCACCTTTCTTGAGAGCTGATCCCGGAAGAGGACCCATTCCTGAAAGGGAAAGAGATCCGTAAGATATTAATATTATAAAATAATTTAACAAATAATAAAATTTATTAATTATATTAAAATTTAGTTATCATAGACAACCACATCATCCAAGTAGACCGTCAGATGGGACAACTTTATCAGCAGCTTCTTTGATAGATGCTATAATAAAACATCAAATTAATCAAGGCTCGTCCGAGCCACCAAATATGTTAAATAGGGATGGCCCGCCGAGACCATCTTTCGTAAGTATCTTTATACAAATTAACAATTTCAAATTGTAAATGTGTATTAACTCGAAAATAATTTTCACCTAGTATTCAACACGAGATCAACAACATCCAGTGGCAGCAGCCATAGCAGCAGGTGACAACAACGGTAAATCTAATTCCCCAAATATTATCAATATTGACCTAGATAGCAGTAGCAACGATCGACCTGGAAATAATGGGGGTGGTAACAATCGTCAACCATCTTCGATGCCGACCCATGGTTCCCAAACAATTACTAAAAGTATGACACTTGGCGAAGTTACTGATTCAATAATTACAAAGGAATATGGTCCAAATCCGCTTCATTTAAGACCGGCAGCTTCATCTTATATGACATACTTGCAAGACCCAATAGTCACAACTGATCAATGGAAGTATAATCGAAGAATGCAGCATAAAGAAGCGGAAGCTGCTGCAGCAGCTGAACGTAATAAATCTGTTGTTGGATCTTCTTCTGGTGGTGGTCGTTCTACAACTCCAGACGAGCGACAAATAATTCGAATGGCTCAACCTCCAAGTCCTAGAAATAAATTTCATGACATAATAGATGGGCATTATTATCAGGCAGCGGCTGCTGCAGTTGCCCAAGGCTTAGGTGGACTTCCGCCTAACCCGGGAATGGATCGAAGAATGCATCAGGGTCCAACCACAAGTGGGCCAAGTGGACCTGGAGGTTCTAATAGTGGTGGTCCTCCGTCCCATCAATTTGCTTTAGATTGTTACGTTAAACATCGAATAGTTGAAGCAATGAGAACTGAAGATGATCGACGTTCAGATGATAGTCATCATCATGGCGGTGGTCATAATTTACATCATGAACGTAACAGTAATGATGGTGGTCATGGTAGATTATCAGCAAGTCATTGTAAAGAAAAAGATAGTGGAAATAAAATGTCTACTGGTTATGAAGACAATCGCCGTTCCAGAAGCTCAGATGGACAACAGGTTAATGAAGGACATAGGCCCAATGGTGGTGGAAGTGGTGGATATGCACCACCCGTAACTACTTTTGCTACAACAACTTACGCTTATCCATATAGTGCATTAAATGTTACTGGACCACCACCACCATCTGGTTTAGTTGTATCACCATCAGTTCAACCTGGAAAATGTATCGATATTAGTAATAATGGACCACAGTCACAGCAGTCATTATCATCTGAACCAAAACCTTTGCTATCAGCACAATATGAGGCTCTTAGCGACGAAGAATAGTTTTTAAAGAAAAAATGGCAATATCATATTGGCATTAATAAGAGTTTCTATAAGAATCAAAAACAGAATAACTAAAAAAAAAAAAAAAAAAAACAAATGATAATGGTAATTGCTAAATTAATATTTGACATTATCAAACTTACTGCTATTTGAAAAATAATAATTACATTTATGATCTCAATCAAAGATGTCGAAATAAAAAAATAATTCCATAAAACTATACATAAATAATTAAAAAAAAAAAATATCTTATTTTTTAATCATAAAAATTAAGAAAAAAAAAACATCGCTTTGAAAACATACACATTTTAAATCACAAATAAAAAAAATTATAATTCAGAATAAACACAAACAAAAAAAAAATAATAAATAAATAAAATAATGGATTGACTTTATAACATAAATATTTGAATTGATTAAATTTTCAAATTATATTAAAAAATATAATATATTATATGTATATTGGTGTATAAAATTGTCCAATTGTAATAATTAAAAACATTTCAAAAAATATTCAAATATATCATATAATATTTATAAATTTAATAAATTTCATAAAATTTTTTGTAATATAATTTAAATAACTATAAAAATTCAATTTTATAAAAAAAAATTAAAATAGATAAAATAAATTGAAAAAAAAAAAATATAATAACAAAACAAAAATTATGCGAAATTATAATTAAAAACAACATACATAAATAAAAAATATAAATATGAAATTACGAAAAACGCGAACTAGCAAAATGAAGTTTTTACACAGCTTAAACAAAAAATACAAGCTATTTATGAATATGAAAATAAAGAAGAAAAAAAAAAATTATAAAACCAAATATTTTTTGCGCCAGCTAAAAAATTAAAATGTTATCAAATTTTAAATAATTAAAAAAAAATAAAAATTCCGAAAAACGCCTTAAAATTTACAGACTTAAAAACCAAAAAAAAAAAATAAAAAAAAAAATTAAAGAAAAAAAGTATAAGTTCAAAAATTTTTATTAAAAAAAAAAATTAACAAAAAAAAAAAAGAATAAAAAATAAATTTAAAATAAGATGATGAAAATCTAAAAATAAGAAAATAGAAAATTTCTATACAGAGTAAACAAAAAATTAAAAAAAAAAATTTTCAATTTTTATTGTAATCGCTCTAAAAATTTTGAGGATGCAAACAAAATGAAAATTGCTACAAGCAATTGATAGTAAGCACGATACTTTTATACAAAACAATTCTTTATTAACAACTTTCAATATATTAATTCGGAATTCATTTATTTTGTAGGGAAATTGTATACAAAATATGACATTAAGATTATTATTGTGCAAAATGAATTTAAATTTTTGTTCTTAAATTAACAATATCAATAATATTTGCATTTCTTTTAACAACAATTTTTATCAAACAACAAACAACAATTTTTTTTTTAGAACAATTACAATAATTTTTGTCAATTTTATTGAATGTGAATAAGAGAAAATTTAAAAGTAAAAAAAAAAAAAGATATTAAATTTTCATGAAATTCATACATAATATACCAACAACAACAACAACAACAATAATAACAACTTAATATAGCTTAAAACAAAATGTATTTGATTAAAAATTTATGTTTATAAAAAAAAAACAAAAAACAAAAATAGATAATTATAATAATGGGAAATAAAAAACATAAAATACATACATACTTACCTACATACATAAAAGTTTAACAAAAATTATAAATCGTTAAAAATTGCTATAAAATGTGTAAAATATTATAAAAAAAACAAAAAAAAAACATGATCAATAATAAAATTAATTTTTGAGTTAATTGATATAAAAACAAAAATATAAACACATTATTATTACATATAACATTATACATTATTATTAAATATAAAACAATTACATATGAAACAAAACAAAAAATAAAAAATTTATAAATACGATAGTAAGAAAATTAAATTAAAATTCTATATATATAAATATTATATAAATAATAATATTAAAATTGAAATTAATCATTTATTAAAATTACAAATTATGTACTAATTAAATTAAAATAGTTATAATACAAAAAAGAGTGATATAGATAAAAACAAAAAAAAAAATAACAAAAAAATTAAAAATAAAAGGAAAGAAAGAAATTAAAAATACATAAAAATAAAAACAAAATTATATATAAAAAATAAAAATATTTAAAACTCATTCTGAAAATTATTATATACATATATATATAATGTATTAATATTATATATATATATATATATATATTATGTAATAATTAATTATACATAATATAAAATGCTATAAATTTTTATTAGATAATATTAAAAACAAACGTCCCCAGAATTTTTTGATTATAAAAGAAAATTAAAAAAAAAAATAAATATATATATATATTATTTACTAAAATTCAAGAAAAAAAAAAATGAATAATAAATAAATTCGTCTTGTATAGTATAATTGCAAGTAAACAATATGTAAATGCAAAACAAAAAATATATATACATAATTAAAAAAATTTTAAAAATTTCTGTTAAAGAAAACATTTTCGTTTATTATTTTTTTTTTTTTGCTATTTTTTGATTTAAATAAATAAAGAAATACATAAAGGGAGAATAATTAAAGAAATTTCATTTCTTTACATTTAATTTGTATTTTATATTTGTTACATTTAATTTAATTAATTATTTCCAAATTTAAAATTTTATTCTTCCCAAAAGTTATTCTTTTAAAAAAAGAATAAAGATTTAAAAATTATTTCCATGAAGATATTTGATAATATTATATTCGTAAAATTAAATGAATACCTCAATTTGCATTAAATATTTTTTGATTAAAAAATTTTTTTTATTTTTATTTTATTGATTAAATTTATTATCGTTTTCGTATGTACAATACAAATAATTTTAAATTTTAAGCTGATATCAAAAATATTAATTTATAACGTGAGAGATAGGCTTAAAAATTATTTATTTTTTTTTTAATTAAATTTAAATAAAATTGATTCTAAAAATTTATCATTGTGAAAATGTTTTTCTTTCATTAAAATGCAAAGTCTATATATACTAGAATTTTTTTGTTATTTAAAATTTTAAAAAAAATTTTCTTCAAAGATAGTTTATTTTTTTTTTCCAACATTTACAATAATAATAGCAGAAAATGTAAAAAAGCAAAAAAGTTTTCTTAATTTTCAATAACAGAAAATTTTTATTAAATAAATATATATGTATATATATATATATATATATATATATATATATAATAAATTAAATTTGATGAAAAAAAAAAAAATATAAATAAAACTTTATCACTCAAAAACTAGGCAAAAAATAAAAAAAAAAAAAAAATAAAAAAATTTAAAACATAAGAAAAAATTTATTAATTAATTAAAATAAAAATTAATTTAGATTAATATTATATACATACACTACACACTTGTACATATTTAATATATGTTCATATGTAAATTCATATACATATGTACATTTGTGTATATTATTAATATAATTAATCTGTAATATAACATATTATATATATATATATATAGATATATATATATATACATATTTATGCATATATAAGTATATACATTCATATGCATAAATATATATAGATATATATATATATATATACATATATACATTTATATTAAATTTAAAAGAAAAAAGAAAAAATTAAAAAATTAAATCTGTAAAAAATAAAATATACAATTAAAATTTAAAATAATTAAAAAAATACAAAAAAAAAAAAAAATTAATGTTAAATAAACTTAAAATATTTATATTAAATATATATGTATATATATATATATGTACAAACATAAAATTTAAATATGGATGTACTTATATATTACAAATATACGTATATATATATATATATATATATATATATATATATATATATATATTTATGTATATATTAACATACATATATGCAAGTGTATATATATATATACATATAAATGCATATATATATATATGTATATATGTACAATTTATATTATTGTATAAAAAATATGAAATTAATTAATTAAATAAAAAAAAAAAAGAAAATTATAAAAAATAATATATAATTAATTTTTTTTCTTATAAATATTTTTAAAATAATTTAATTTTTTTTTTTTTTCTTTACTTTTTATTTTTCTTTATAAGAATTAATTAAACTAAAAATACCTTTGCTAATTGTATTGTTATTAAGTATAATAAAATAAAAATATTAAAAAATTAAATTTATTTCAACAAGAAAAAAAAAAAATTACAAAAAAAAAAACAATAAAACAAAAAAAAATAATTAAAAAAAAAATAAATTTAATATTATATAAATATATATTTTTCAATAAATTAATAAATTTTAGAAATTAGTATAAATAATTTTTAAAAAAAGTAAAAAGAAATTATATATGTAAAAAAAAAAAAAATTAATTTTTAATTTCCCTCCTTTTCCCACTCCCTTCACACTCTTTAACAATTTAATTATATTTCCTTTAATTATACTTATTAAATATAATTATATAAAATTCATGTATACATATATATATATATATATATATACATAGATGTATTTACGATGTATATATTTGAATACATATAGATATGTATATATAATATATATGAATATATATATATATATATATTTACAAAATATAATTATTATAAGTTAAATTAAATAGAGAGTAACTTTCGTTAATCTATAAGTTTTTCTTGTTCAAAATGCAAAAATTACAAAAAAAAAAAAAAAATAACATTAAAAAAAAAAATAATAATTTAAATAAATTTTATTTGAATGAAAAATTCAGTAATGTAATTTTTTTTATTGGTTTTTTTTTTTTTTTATATATTTTAAATTTTTATTATTAATTTTAGATTTAATTTTTTTTTTTCTTGCTATTATATAAGAATTAAAAGTAAAATTAAAAAATCTAAAGTAAAAATATTATAAATAGTTCGTTAATTTTTCCCTTGTGTATGTACGAAATTTTTAAGTTTATTAATTAAAAAAAAAAATAAATTTATATAAATATTAATCAAAATATATATAAAAAGAAAAAAAAGTAAAAAAAAAAAAATATGGAAACAATAAAAAAAAAATTAATAATGAAATTTTAGTTTTTATTTTAAAATGAAATAAAAAAAAAAAGGAAAAGAATCTATTATTAGTATTTTTTTACATAATTTGTTTACGTTTGATTTTGTAAGTAGGTTTATCTTTAAAATTAATTAATAATAAATAATAAAGAATGAAAAAAAGGAAAACAAAAAAAAAACAACAATTTTATTGTAAATTTTTGCTTTTTAATTTTATTTAGTTTGTTAAATCAATTATCTTAGAATTTTTATTATTTTAAATGTAAAACGACAGAGTACTTGGTTTTACTTTAATTTTAAATAAGTAAAATTGTATAAGAGCGAATGGTTTCTTTTTATTTTAATTTTCATAATGTATATTTAAAAGCCGTTCTATATATTTCCTTATTTCTTTGGGAATTTCAATGTTATTTGATTTTCATTAAATTTCTACGTATATAGAAAGAGGGCAAACGATAATAAAAAAAAAACATCACTCATATATTTTGGTAGTTGTATCTCATGTAAATATCGCATGAAATCATACCATAACGTTTAAGTTATATTCTAAACGAAGAATTGGTATTTACATATCATATTCTAAATTTCATATTCTATGAGATGTGGTAAATGATATTAACTTAGACATGCGTGATAGAAAATTATCATGTATGCGATTTGAATAAAGCTTTTCGTACGACGTACATATTAGTACTTTTTTTTTTACCAGAAACAAGAATGTGATAAATTAATGTCTTTATATCTAACAAGTCCCAATGCTCAGAGAGAAACTTGAAAGCACACCTTATTTTATATGGCCTTTTTTAAATCGAAGTGGCTATTTTTTGAGAAGAAATATTAAAATAAATTCACACTTATTATAAAGCAGGTAAAATTTAGAACATATATTTGAAAAATCAAAAAAATGTATTAATATTTTCATTGATAATTATTTTAAAATTTAAAAAAAAAACGAAAAAACAACAAACACAACCTTCGCCTTCAACGTTTTATTTGTTACTGAAAGCATTTCATTATTTTTAAGTGAACAGCTTTTTTTTCTCATAGGGTAAGTTAACGCAAGATATGGGAAGTACCTGTGGTGTCAAGTTGAAAATATAATTAATGAAAGATAATTCTTAAATATTGATATAAATACATAGTAAAGAAAAAATTTGAAGAGGGAATTAGAAAATAATATCTAAAATACAATCAAATATTATTTGTTAAATACAAATTTTATATAAACTTCAAAATTTTACCTCTATTTTTATTTGAAAAAATATTAAAAACTTACTATCATTTATATCAATTACCTAAGAAAAAAAAATATTTAAAATGTTTGGAAAAAACAATCATATATTTTTATGACCGGATTTGAATATTTTTTTATTTTTGAAATAAATGGTATTTTACCAAATGACTCAAAAATTCCGACTGTAAAATAACAGGTATTTTAAAATTTTTGTTCAGGTATTTTAAAATTCTTTCCGTTTAGAATTAAGATAGGTCATACATACACATGCAGGGACATTTTATAAATAGATTGCTCTTGTTTACCTGCTAATAAAATATGAAAAAAGAGCACAGCAAAATTTTTGAAGCACTCAATATAACATGTTTGAAATAGTTTTAAAATAATTATTTAAAAAAAAATTTATTGGAAGTAGGTACATACATATTTATTTTTAATAATTTAAAAACTAACTGAAATTATTTGAAACAATTTTATAAGTAACGTATGAATAATCGAAATGAGATAATTCAAATTGTTGAAATGTGTCAACCTATATTACTTTTAATAACATTTTTGTTAGCCGACACTACTCAACTTACCTTATTGGGAAATACAAAATGTGCATAAAAAATCATACATCCTTCCTCATTAACATTTGAAACCATACTGAAATATGAATTTGAAATTTTTTTTCATTTTTTCTTTCCTCCTACCTTTCTTTCTTTTTCGTGCAATAGAATTTAAATGGGAAGCTTTTTAAAAAATGTGTATAATATCCTGAGATTTTTTAAAATATTAATCTCTTTTTTACGTAAAAAAAAAGAAAAAAATAATAAAAAATATGACACGATCAGTGGCATTTAAAGAAAAAACCAACAACGAGGCCAAAAATTCGTAACATTTCGTAAAAAAAATTGAGTATTGGGACTTGTTAGATATAAAGACATTAGATAAATATTCTGCTATGTATAAAAATAAAATAAAGTACAAACACAAAAAGAGAATAAGGAAAATTATTATTGTAAAGTAAATAATTTATAAATTATAATTATGCTAAGTTCACAGCTTAATTTCTGAGTCCTTCGATTTTGAAACACACCATAGAGTACCATAAAATTTGTTTTAAATATTGAACTTTAATTTGCTATAATACTGAACGCAATTTAATCTAATTTCATAAAATAGTAAAATAAAAGAGGAAAGAAATGCCAATTTGTTATGATTTTCTTTCTGGCTTATCCAAGGCATGCGGCATGTTTTATACTAAGAAAGTATTTTTTCTAGAATCAAATCAAAATGTGATTTTAAATGAAATTGAATATTTAAAATTAAATAATTTAAATATTTAAAACTATGCCATATAATCTGAAGTCAAATTTAATGGAGCAAAAATTAACGTCCTTAAATTAAATATTGCAAAACAACGTATGTAATTACATTTTTAATTCTTTATTTTCTTCTAAATGAAAATTGTTTTCTCTCCCACCTTTTAAATTTTCTAACATTTTGTGTAATTCTTCAATGCTCGGTAGTTTTTTGTCATTTTCGTGAAAATCTTTATTGTTACTCTTTAATTCATTTGGGTGCATAACTTCTTCATGCCTTTTACGGTTAGACGGATGAACAAAACTATGATTACAAAATCTACATGAAAATGGTTTAAGATTTGTGTGAGTAATCATGTGGAATTGTAAAGTAATATTCCGTTTAAAGCTTCTTCCACAGTAATTACATCTATAGTCTTTCACATCAGAATGTACTAACATATGACGACCAAGATGTTTGGGCTTAAATAAATCTCCACAAACGGTACAAGGCACACAATTTTTCTCATGATTTTTTATATGTTCCTACAAGAAATTAAAACAATTAAAATTTTAAAAATTGAATGAGAGTGTTAATGAAATAGCTACTTCGATTCTGGAAGATGCAAATTGTTTCTGGCAAATTGGACAGGTACTTTCATTCTTATCATGAATATTTCGTTTATGACGAACTAAATGATGATTAGATGAAAATTCCTTATTACAAATCTGACAAACAAATGGTCTTTCTTTTAAATGTTTAGTTCGTACATGAATAAGCATTTTTCCTTTTCTCGGATATCTAGCATCACAATGTGGACATTTAAAAAAATTTGCTTCTTTTTTTTCAGCAGGCCAATGTAATTTACGATGTTCGAGTAAATTTGAATTGTTCGAAAATCTTTTACCACAAGTTTCACACTTACATTTTCGTTTTGATGGGGTTTTCTCATTTACATTTTGTAATTTTTTTATATTTTTTACTTTTAGAAATCCAGACTCTGAATCAGATGACAAATCATATTCAATCTCAGTTTTAATAATTTTATTTTCAATGCAGCTGCCAGTGTCCTCTTTTTCTTCATATATTTCTTGTTTTATAATGTCAATAATATCGTGATTAGATTTTTCATTGGAATCATTACAATTACTACTAGTCTCTTTGATTGGATTGTTTTCTATTTTAATAGATTCAGAATTCTTTTTAATATTACCTACAATTTTTCGAGTTAGTTGATTATCAAAATTCTTGATTTGATCATGTCCGGAACTATACTTTGAATTCAATTGCACAATATTAATAGGAATTTCTTCTTTAATTGAGTTCTCTATTTCTGAAAATATTTTGGAAACGCTCTTAACTTGAATGTAAAACTTGCAAATTGAATCTATGAATGTTTCGCAAACGATACAAATTTTAAATATATTTAATGTTTCAACCTAGAAGAATCAAAATTGTAAAATGTATATTTTAAGAGTTCTCTTAAAGTTTCTTAATACCGAAAAAGAAAAAAGCTTATCCACGACATCTAGGAAGTTTTTATCAAGTGGCTCTTCCAAATTTTTATAACTTTGTGCACCACAAAATCGACATAAATTTCTCCAGATATTTTCATTTGTATCACACATTTTTTAATTCATTTACTATAGAAATCTCAACAGAAATATCGTTTTGAAGTCCATGTAATATGAGATGTCTATAAAAGTAAAATCACATTATTTTACATGTTTTTCAAATCAATGTAAGAATAAACTCGATGTACCGTAAGTTAAAGACGTGTTTACGATTGCAGTTATTTCTCACATATTTTTATTGCTTCAACAGTTGTCAAAATGCTGAGCAATGCAAATTTATTTTTGTTTACATTTTTTTTTTCGGTTCATTTTCATTTTTAGTTGAATTTTTTTTTTGACATTTATTTCTTTTAGACAATTGGTGATATGGTGAATAAAAGTATTTTTAAAAACTGACACCAGGTGCCACTAAAATTTTATATCAATACTTAAAAAATATTGTCAAAAAAAAATTTTAAAAGACATTTTCATTTTTAAAGGCCATACTTACTAGTAAAAAAAAATGAAATAAATTCATTATTTATAATTTACATACTTAATAATATAAAAAGCGTGAATAATTATTTGAACAGACGTGAACAAAAATTAAGGAAATTATAAAAGTCAAGGATATGAAGCAGAAACATTTACGGCTTGTATACCGGAAAATGCCGGTAAAAAAATTATTTAAAATTTTACTTTTGGATTCCATACGAACCATATATTATTGGATTCCATACGAAATTAATATGTTGACTATATACATATGTACATAAATATGTACTTTGTACACATTTAATTTAGTTGTTAGAAACAATATAAATGCAGAAAAAAGCAGAAGATTTTAAGCAAGATTTTAGTTGTACACTAAATGAAGTATTAATGATAAAGGAACAGTTAAACTCTTAAAAAATGTAATACAGCTGTGAGTGAGAATATTTATTCCCCAAAGGTGTTAATTAAAGGACAGCAAGATGAAAGATTTTCTAAGGAAAAATTACGGTAATTATGTACCTATGCTTATTTTTCCTTTTTTTTTTTTAGGTATAAAATTGAAAGACGCATTGTATTTGAGGACGACAATTAAAATTAAGATTAATAATAGTGATAATGAAAAAAAAAATCCATTTATAATTTTGAATTAAAATTTTTTTTTTATTTTTCATCTTTTTCGTTTTATTTTTGTAATAATAATTTTTTATTCAATTTAAGTATGTATGTATATATAATTTAAGAAATATGTTTATGTTTCATGTTTACTTTTATTATATATTTATATGCAATGATAAATATATATACTCATATATATATATTTACTAAACATATAATTACATATAAATGTATGTATATTTAATTTATGCAATATGTATATACATATGTATATATATTTACAGTTATCTTTATAATATACTTATATTTCAAATATTATAAATTTGTGTTTTTTGTATGTTTTATATATGTATATGTAGTTTTGAATTTAAATTATATTTTATTTTTTTGTATGTTTTTTTTGTTTGTTTCGTGTTGTGTATATTGTTTCTTTTTTAAAATCCTTTTTTTTTTTTAATTAATCATTTTTTCTTTTTTGGTTTTATATTCATTTTTTTTTTTTTAGTAAAACTAATTTAAAAAAAATCGTTTTTCAATATTACAATGTTTGTATTTGTTTTATGTCTCAAAATGAATTTTTATATTGCATGTTAATTTTGTTTTACTTATTACTTTTTTTTTATTTTTAATATTTGTTTTTTTATTTTTTTATAATTTTTATTATGAAATTTCGTTTAATTATTATTACGTTAGTTTCTTTTTTCTTTCCATTGTCTTTTTAATTAATATTATTTTAGTTACCTTTTTTCAAATGATGTTTTAGTTTTATATATTTTTTTTTTTGTAATCCAATTATCAACATTTTTAAACGTTTATTTAAATGAATAAAACCAAAAAAAAAAAAGAAAAATTAATGATTAATTGTCCAAGTTATTATTAAAAAAATAACTCAAAAAATATTTCGATTATATTAAAATATAGAGGAAAAAATTTTTAAATAATATTGACAAACAGAAAAATTTAAATTAAGTTATATAAAGAAAAAATTTAATAAATAAAAAAATTATAATTATGTATCATATGTTATGTTTTTTGTTTATTTTTGTCATGAAACCAAATTAAACAATGAAATATAATTCATCTTTATATGTATATATAAATATATATGTATATATTGCAGTGTAAATTGTGTAAATTTGAAACACGTTTAATGAACATATTTCATATTTAATTTATAGTATTTCATATTTGTTTGTTTATTGTTATTTCCTTACTATTTGATTTTTTTTTTTTTGAAAATAAAAACTTAAAAACTAATATGAATAAAGTTCTACTTGATTATAAATATAATAAATAAATAGACACATATCTATATATATAATTTTTTTTTTTAGTTTTTTTATTTATTTTCTTTTAATTTGAATAATAAAATATCTTATCTTTTTGTATTATATTCAAAGAACAATAAATATATATAATAAAATGTACACAAATTTCAATTTTATATTTATTTGGTTTATTTTTTTTTTACTTTTTTCATTTTAATTTTTTTTTTTACTTAAAATGACCAAAAAAAGGATAAAAGAGCTACGTGTAAGAGAAGGATTACAAGTGAATAAATAATTTTTTATTTTAAAATTATGAATAAATATATAAATATATTTAAAATTTTGTTACTATTCAGAGAACTACTACAGCGTATCTATATTAGACAGCACAATATTTAAAATATTTATTTTATTTTTATTTTTTTTGCTTTTTTGGTTATAAAATAAATTTTATAATTAATATAAATTTAATATGAGGAAAAAAAAATAATATTTTTATTTTATTGTTGCGCTATATTATTTGTGCCATCGAGCATTGATTCACATACAATACTTATTAATCTTTTTTTCAATTAATGTACATTTTGATTATTTAAAATTAGAATAAAAATTTATAAGTGTACGTTGTACAATGTATTTTTTATATAGTATAATTTTAATAATAATGACTAGAAACGCAAAGAACATATGTATATATGTATAAGAAAATAGACATTAATAATTATTAATAAATTAATATAATAAATAAATATACATATATTATAAATATGTATTATATATACATAATATAAAAAAAGTAACTAATTAAGAAAAACACACACCAAAAATTTATTTTTCGTTTTTTTTTTTTTGTTTTTTTGTCGAAGAAAATTATGTTTATAATAAATGATAAAATAATATCTTATTATTATTATTATTAATCTATATATAATATTTGTATTTGATATTTAATAAATTTTATTAAAGATTATTTGATTTCATTACATTTATTTAAACTTTTATAATGAATGCTATTTTTAAAATTAGTTTAGTATATTTTTTATTTAATATTAACATAGAGAGTAAATTAACTTACTTAATACGAACAAATAATATTTACTAAATTTTATATTATTAATATTTTAAATGCTACTTGCTTTTTAATATTAGCAAACTTTAGTAATACAATTAAAATTGCATTTATAATGATTAATATAATAAAATATGAATTATGCAATTGAATTTTTACGAATCAAAACCAAAAAAAGAAAAAGAGAAAATAATTTATTATTAGAGAAAATCTAAAAACAATAGACAAGTCAAAATTTAAAATATCACTCCTATACACAATTCAAGTTAAAATTATATATATTAAATTATAAATTAAATACATACTAGATATTAAATACAATATGAAATAATTTTTTTTAATATCTATATATATGTATACGCGATAATTAATTCTAATTATTTAAATTAAATTGGTATACGCACAATTAAAATGAAAATATTTAAATAATTTGAAATTTTACACATAATAATAGTTTATAAATACATATTAGTATTTTATTTATTTATAATTTGTGCATAGATTTCATTTTTGTGTCAAATTAGGGAATAATGAAAGTATTTTAAATATAACATAAAATTATTTGCTTTTTTTATTTTTGGTTAATTACATAATTAATTTTGTATGGTAAAAATTGCTAAAATAATATTTTTCAGAAATTATATAATAAACAAATTTAGCAATATGGTTGTTTTCTAACGATAAAACTTGTTGTTTATTATTTAGTGAATTACAATCACAATAAAGTGAAAATTTGCATATTATTTGTAACAAATAAAAAAACTATTCATTAATATAGTAATTTAGTAATTTAATTTTAAATATATTGAATTCAATTAATATTTAATCAAGAAAAATTAATACAATTTTTTGTCTATATGAATTTCAAGTATTGCAGTAATAATTATTTGTTAAAGTGTAATTTCTGAAAAATTAATTTAGCAAATAGTTTTTTTTTATTAATTTTCCTAATTCACTTAATTCTTAAATATTTTATATAAGTTACAATAATAATAAAAAATAATTAGAATGCAGTTTGCTTATGAAATTGCCTAGTATATAAGGTAGATTAATAAAATAATTTTTTTTATACCTTGATTATTAAATAAATTATTCTTTACAATATATATTTTTAAGTGTAATAAATAATTTATGAAATAATTAAAATTTAATTTAATAAAAGAAATTATAATAAATTTTAAATGTATTAATATAAATAAATATTGATAAATATATCAAATTAAATAAATATTTTTATTAGTATTTTATAATTGAGTTGATTATTAATTATTATATATAACTAATGTATATATATATTTATATATAACTACCTATATATATATATATATAGGTAGGTATATTTAATAAACATGTATAAAAGTTAATAAATACATACTTTAAATTTTTGTATACATATATGAGTATATTTGAGTATTGCACTGAGATGTATTTCGATTAATAAATTTTTTAATAATAATATTAAAAAAATAAATATTTAAAAAAAAAAATATTGTAATATCTGAATTTTGAATAAGAGAAAATAGCAACAAAAAAATAAGTTAAAAAATCTATTAATAAATAAATAAATAAATAAATAAAAAACTTAATATGCAAGTACACATTCCAAAGTAAGAATTTTGGTGATACCAGATTACGTTGTTAAGAGTGCAAATGTTCTACAGATACAGTTGCGTTGATCTTGAAAAAGCCCTTATTTTTTTTATCTTAAAGAATTTCGGTATAGCTAAAGTTAATTTTCTTCGCCCCTTAGTCATAAATTTAGTCATAAGTTAACAAGAGTGTTAATTAAACTAATTTTAATGGCAATATAGCAATTATATTGT